CCGGTTTTTAGTTTTGTGCTGCCCCTCTGGAGATAAATTCCATCCATGGGAACTAGGTCTGGGCACATTTGTCTGAATGTCCCTGCAGGGAGGCCGTCATCATTTCCATGTTGTAAATATCTTCCACCCTGGTCTCCCATTGCTGGATGGTGGGCGCATCCGCATGTTTCCAGTGTGCGGGGATTAGGGACCTAGCTGCTGTGAGTAGATGTATTCTAAGACCCTTTTTATATGCTTTCAGTGTAGTTTGTGTATGGTTGAGGAGCATCGTCAATGGCTGTAGTGGCAAGTCTGTGTCAGTGATTTCCCTAATCTTTTGATTAAACTGCTGCCAGAATGGGACTATGAGGGGGCACGTCCACCGTATGTGAAGTCCCGTTCATACGTTCGCTCCGCATCTCCAACATTCGCTGGGTATGGACTTATGTATGTGTCGCAGGACATCTGGAGTCCTGTACCAGTGTGTCAGGAGTCTGTCAGGTTTCCTGATATTTGGATCTCATGGATCCTTTGTGCGTCAGGAGAAAAATCTTATTCCAGCCATGGTCTGTGAGTTCAATTCCTGTTGCCTGCTCACATTTCTTTGTGAACACCAGCAGGCGCCTGTCCCCACTGTTTATGAGAGCAGAGTACAGGGTCGATACCCCATGTGTGAGGTGTTGCTGGGATGTGCATAGTTGTTCAAGGTACGTTAGGGGTCTGTGTAGATGGTCTTTACCTCTAATGGCAGCTTCTTAGGTCTTGATCTGGTGGTAGTGGATTTCGTCAAGGGTCGGTCTGCGGTCCGGGAGTACGTCCGTTAAGGGCTTAAGGGTGTTTATGGTGCTGCACTGCTGTATATAGACCCAGTCCATGGCCTGAAAGTTCCTCATGGTTGTGGGGTGTAGCCTCCCCCAGCCAACTCCAGGTTGTGTGTGATTGGGGTGAGCGGGTTGGGCAAAGCAGTCAGTTGTTGGGAGTAGCATAGGTTACACCATGTTCTGATTGTTGCGTCAATCATGGGATTGCCCATGCTGGTTTTGGTATATGAGGCACCTCCTAGCCACAGCATAGAGGGGATCTTTCCCTGTGCCTGGTAGACTTCCATATTCACCAATTTTTTGGTGCTCGGGCGAGCATGCCAGTCGATGAACTGGTGCTCCCGGATCAACCTGCTAATCTGGGTGGGCCCCTGATTCCACATGAATTGTAGGATTGCAACTGTCAGGGTGCAGACGAATGCCTGTGGGATGGACATGGGTATTTCCTGGAACAGATGCAGCAGGCGTGGCAATACATTCATCTTTACCGTGTTGATGCGGCCGAACCACGAGATATATTGGGCCGACCATCGTTGAAGGTCTTTCTGCAGAACCATGTGGAGGGGGAGGAAATTCATTTGGTATAGAAGTGCGAGGTCGTTTGGCAGCCAGGTATCGAAGTTTAAATGGCGCATAACATAAATGAGAATTGCTTGTGAAGACGTTGATTCAGTTTGACATTCTGCGTTATCGGCATGGCTTCAGATTTGTTCAGGTTAAGTTTCTTGTTGGACACCAAGTTGTACTTCCTGAACGCCTCCAGCAGGTTAGGTACGGGATCCCGGGTTGTTCCAAGAAGAAAAGCATGTCGTCGGCGTAAGCCCATACCCAGTGCTACGTGTTGCCCATGTGCGACCCTGTGATTCCCCCATCCTGTCTGACCACCTCAAGGAAGGGTTTAAGAGAGAGGGCAAACAGAAGGGGGGGACATTGGCATCCTTGCCGGGTGCAGTTGGGAATGGCAAAGGGTTTCATCAGGACTCCGTTGATGCAAATACGCACCGTTGTTGTGGTGTATAACATCGCAATCCAGGCTCGCAAGTTTGGGCCGAATCCCATGTGACACAGCGTGTCCAGTACACCCTAACGAAAGCCTTTTCGCCATCAGTGGAAAGGAGCACCACTTCCTGCCCGGTGGTTTTGGCTGCATGGATGACGTTGAGGGCCCGTATGGGGATGTTTCTCACTTCACTCCCGGGTATAAATCCGACTTGGTCGGGTGTATGAGGTCTGGCAGGGTCTGGGTGAGTCGTAGCGCCATGGCTTTGACGAACAGCTTCAGGTTGACGTTCAGTAGGGAAGTCGGGAGATAGCTAGCGCAGTTAGTTGGGTCTGGATCATAATGACTGAGGCTAGGGTATCCGACGGGAGCAGTCCGCTGAAGCGTATCGAGTTTAGGCCCATGAAAAGTCTCGGTAGTAATATGTCCCTAAAATGCGCAGGTAAGTCAAAGGGAGACCATCTGGACCTGAGACCCGGCGGGGTTTGAAAAGTTTAATGGCGCAAGCAAGTTTCTCGAGTGTTAGGGGTTGCTCCTGTTCAGCTGCCGACTCCGGGGTGAGACAATGGGTGATGTGTTGTTCGAGATAGTCCGAAATGCGTTGTTCGTGGCAGTTTTGCGGTTGTGCCCCACTTGGATTGTGTCTGGTTACATAGGTCTGTGTAGTAGTTTTGGAAAAACTGTGATATTATTATGATATATTCCAATTTCATTTTCATAAATGTGAATCGCAGATAGAAATTTGAACATTTCATTTTTTAGGACAAGATGAACAGCATTATTCCTGATTTTGAAGCAAGGGCGTATGCACACTCACAAGCTATTTTATTGTTTTTAAACCATTTTTTTTAAACAAAAGATATATATTTTCCCATCAAATATTTATATCTGAAACATAATTTAATATGAACAAAGTCTAAAATGTGTCAGAAATTAAGAAATATATACAGTTGTAATCAAAAGTATTCAACCCCAATTGAAAATCAGGCTTATTGTAAAAATTTACAGCCATATAGCTTTTTGCAATAAACAAATCAAAGCATGAACATATCATGAGCGATGGCCTCCAGTTCAGTAATATTCTTTGGTTAGCATGCTGCATCTCCCTTCTTCAAATCCCACCAGAGATTTTCTATGGGGTTCAAGTCAGGTAACTGAGATGGCCACTGTAGAATTTTCTTGCAACCAAGCCTTAGTGGAATTTGAGGTATGCTTGGGATCATTGTCTTGTTGGAAGGTCCAATAACGCCAAAGCTACAGCTTCCTCACAGACGGTATTACGTTTTCTCCTAGGTTTTACTGATACTTCAATTAATCCATCTTGTCTTCCACTCGCTGCAGGTTTTCAGAGGATGCAAAGCAGCCTCAGAGAATTACCGAGCCTCCACCATGCTTAACTGTAGGCAGAGTGTTCTTTCCAGCATATACTTAATTATTTTTCCTCCAGAAATGCTGCTGATGTACATAAATCTCGAATGTAAGCTCACTGAGCAGGGCCCTCCACCTCTCTGTTCCTGTACGTCCAGTTGTCTGGTTACAATTACATGTCTGTTAGTCCACCCATTATACAGCGCTATGGAATCTGATGGCGCTATATAAATAATAAAATAATAATAAATGTTGTGCTTAGTGGCAGAATCAGATTTTAGTGAATAAACTCCTCAAAGGAACACTTCACTGCCCAAATAAAACTAAAAAAATAAATAAAAACCAATCACTGTTTAGTAGATATAACCCCAATAAAAAAGCATGCATTTAATTATGCATTATATAATTGGGTGTATACCTAAAAACAGCACACACAAATTGCTGGTCTATTGTCTGCTGCCTGTGCCACCGTATCCCTTATTCCTGATCCCAGACTTTCTGTGTCTGTCCAATCACAGACTTCCCAGTGCAGCTCAATGAGAAGTCTTTGCAAGGCAGGTACTCTGAGCAGTTGCTGCCTCTTAAGTTTAGCTCCATAAACTAAACAACCAGGAGGTAACAGGACCAGTTATCTGATTGACAGTCAGGGTGTGTTACCAGGTTAATTAGTTATAAGTACCAATTTCTATTGAAAGACACACTCTTTATACATAAAGCTCTTCAGCAAGCTAAATTGTTTTATATTATGTGAGTGTTCCTTAAAGGACCACTATAGTGCCAGGAAAACATACTCATTTTCCTGGCACTATAGTGCCCTGAGGGTGCCCCCTCCCCCCCCCCGGTCCCCCTCCTGCCGGGCTCTGGGTAGAGGAAGGGGTTAAACTTACCTCTTTCTCCAGCGCCGGGCAGGGAGCTCTTCTCCTCCTCTCCGCCTCCTCTCCTAGTCTTCGGCTGAATGCGCATGCGCGGCAGGAGCTGCACGCGCATTCAGCCAGTCTCATAGGAAAACATTCATAATGCTTTCCTATGGACGCTTGCGTCTTCTCACTGTGATTTTCACAGTGAGAAGCACTCAAACGCCTCTAGCGGCTGTCAATGATTAACCTATTTATAAACCTTCTCTGAAACTGCTATGTTTATAAAAAGAAGGGTTAACCCTAGCTGGACCAGGCACCCAGACCACTTCATTAAGCTGAAGTGGTCTGGGTGCCTATAGTGGTCCTTTAAATATCAGCAATAGTATTTTTGTAAAGCTTTTCTATCACTTTAAATAATTTAATTCGGTCTTCTAAAGAATTGATATTTAATTACCTTTCCCAGTCAAAAGTAGGAAGAAATAGAATTTTAGTTTACTGCAAGCAGAATTCAGTGCTTTCAAAACCAGATTAAAAATACAAAGTGTTCCTTATCATGTATCAGTTTGATGATAAAGTAATGTAATCTGCCTCTCTGATCCATACAATCTAATCAATAACTCAGTGACGAGATAATCAGGATAATTGAGGTTTCAATTTAACATTGTACCGGAAGAGCACAAGCTGTGATATACATTACGACAAGGAAGAGACATGGGGGTGAAATGAAATGTTGTAAATGTGGCAATTTATTTATAACCTTAGAAATCATATTCTGTTAAAAATACAATTTTAATTTGCATTTCCATAATTATTTCATATTATCAGTATGTTTATTTATGATTACTGGGATAGTGGAATATTCAGATGGTGAATACAGATGTCGCGAACTGTCCGCGAACTTCTCGCAAACGGTTTCGCCGCGGTTTGCCACGAGCTGTTCGCGGCGAACTCCGGTCAGCTGACACGTCCCGGCCAATCTCCAGCAGACCCTCCCTCCCAGACCCTCCTACTTCCTGGACAGCATCGTCATGTCATGGATGCTGTCCAGGAAGTAGGAGGGTCTGGGAGGGAGGGTCTGCTGGAGATTGGCCGGGACGTGTCAGCTGACCGGAGTTCGCCGCGAACAGCTCGTGGCAAACCGCGGCGAACCGTTTGCGAGAAGTTCGCGGACGGTTCGCAACATCTCTAATGGTGAATAAATGTGATAACTCATTTAGTTTGTATTTAAAATAGCAGTCCAGCTTACTATGCAGGAATCATATATATAGCCAAAATGCTACATATTTCTTCATTTACGTTCACCTTATAATTGTTCCTATTACTCCATACCACCTCTCAAAATAACTCCTCATATTACTCCATATAACCTCTTTATAGCCCCTCCTGTTACTCCATATAATCTCTCCATATAACTCCTCCTATTACTCCATATAACCTCTCTCTATAATTCCTCCTATTACTCCATATAACCTCTCCCTATAACTCCTATTACTCCATGGAAAATCTCCCTGTAACTCCTCCTATTACTCCATATAACCTCTCCCTGTAACCCCTCCTATTACTCCATATAACCTCTCCTTATAACTCATCCTATTACTCCATATATCCTCTCCCAATAACTCCTCCTATTACTCCATATAACCTCTCCCTATAACTCCTCCTATTACTCTATATAACCTCTCCCTATAACTCCTCCTATTACTCCATATAACCTGTCCCTATAACCCCTCCTATTACTCTATATAACCTCTCCCTATAACTCCTCCTATTACTCCATATAACCTCTCCCTATAACCCCTCCTATTACTCTATATAACCTCTCTCTATAACCCCTCCTATTACTCCATATAACCTCTCCCTATAACTCCTCCTATTACTCCATATAACCTCTCTATAACTCCTCCTATTACTCCATATAACCTCTCCCTATAACCCCTCCTATTACTCCATATAACCTGTCCCTATAACCCCTCCTATTACTCCATATAACCTGTCCCTATAACCCCTCCTATTACTCTATATAACCTCTCTCTATAACTCCTCCTATTACTCCATATAACCTCTCCCTATAACTCCTCCTATTACTCCATATAACCTCTCCCTGTAACTCCTCTTATTACTCCATATAACCTGTCCCTATAACCCCTCCTATTACTCCATATAACCTGTCCCTATAACCCCTCCTATTACTCCATATAACCTCTCTATAACTCCTCCTATTACTCCATATAACCTCTCCCTATAACCTATCCTATTACTCCATATAACCTCTCCCTGTAACTCCTCTTATTACTCCATATAACCTCTCCCTATAACCCCTCCTATTACTCCATATAACCTCTCCCTATAACCCCTCCTATTACTCCATATAACCTCTCTATAACTCCTCCTATTACTCCATATAACCTATCTTTGTGTGAACTGTAGCCTCTGGTCTGGTAAGATCATCTAATGGAAATGTGTTAAAAGCTGAGGGAATACCTCCATCTAATTTACATACACAAATATTTATATTGCATTTAACTTTCATGAACAATGATTAAATGTAGTTAAGTTTTCGCTTGATTAATAACATTTTGACTCCTCTTTTGGATCAAACTCTATTATCCTGTATACTTATATAAAACGGTTTTGAGACTTAATATTAATTGGAGAGCAAATATTCACACATATTTGGTAAAAAAAAAAAAAAAGGAAAAAGTGCTGAAACTTGTTTTTTTTTGCCCCACTTGGAGTTGTCTCTTTAAATTTCTATGTTTATTTCTCTATTTAGGGTGATGTGAATGATAGATCATTTCTCACGGGATATGCTCATGTGATCGGAGATGTCTTGGCCAGATGGCACAACGATGAAAGATGACAGAGTGTGTATGAATAATCTTCTAGAATCAGACAGCTAATGCCATTTGTGGATCAATTTATGCTAATTGAAAACATTTTTCTTTGGTTTATGGCTGTTTTGAATCACTCAGACACAACAAGGCTATTATAAGTAGAACAAAGACCAGGAATTCTAGTCTAAGCCAGTACTATTTCATTTACCCATACATCAAATACATATTCACTTCCACTCACAGCCACAGATCACTGTGTCAGCAGTACCTGCTCGATTCTCAGTGTCATATGTTCAGAAGTTTTCAGGATCATAGGGCAACATTCATAGGGCATTATAACCTTCTGAGTACAGTAATATAAGTACGAACTGGTCCGGGGAATAAAACCTGTAAGTCAGTATAAGTTTGATATCCACTCTCCCTCCTACCATCCATAGATGTTTCCTCTTACAAACATTTTTAACACATCACTTAGACTTTTCCAAACCAACCACAAACAATATAAAGACCTTTCCATATCAGCCACATGCCTTGCTCAGCCCTACCAAAACCATGTTCATCTCTCCATCTATTCACAGATATTACTAACAAGATTATTCTCCAAAGTAAGAACTGAAGGAGAATTCAAAGTGAATTTCAAATTTTAGGTCAAAAGAGCCAAACCGGAAACCAGTTTTCAATTTAGTGAATTCTTACATATATTTTTTTAAACATCTTCTGAACATCCACCTCACTCCACTTTAGTCTAACTTTCCACACATCTCACAATACTCTCTCACTCAGGCTTTCAACAACATATATTCAATTTCCTTAGGCTCTCTCAGCAATCCACACTCCTATCTATCAATATACGCTGTTTAGCAGACTTGCAGATTTTGCGTGGTTGGTTTGGAAAGGTCTAAGTGAACTATTGATGGTTTGTGAGAGGAAACATTATAGGCGGGAGAGTGGATGCAATGGATGGCCATGTTTGTTATAATTTGTGATTCAGAATTATGTTACTGGTGCCAGAAAAAAAGGCGGACAGAATGGATAAGTAGCAATTTTTTTTGTGATGGCAGATAAGCAGCTTAGTTTGTCATGGTGGACAAGAGGTCTACCCCATCATGTGAGCTGTATCAACTGTCCAATCAAGATGTGGAAAAAAAGATGATTGATGGTTGGAGGCCAGCCACTGAATGTTTAATTTATTCACAGATCAAATGATGCTGACCAATAAAGAGAAAAGGGAGGAGCAGCTAAACAAACTATGCTTTCAAGCTGGATTATTTGAGACTCTAACTGCAGCTTTTGAAGGAGACAGACCATCAATGATTGTGTATTTTAACATTACTGTGTGGGAAGTGTTATTGATCCTAGTGTGAGACTAGGTTTAGGATACTGCTGTATCTACCTAGCCAGCAATGCCAGTGGCACTTAAGACAACTTTGATTGGGAGATAGTAGAATGCCTGTTTCATTTATCCTTTCACGCCCTAAATTTATTTTAATATTAAAAACTAAACCACCATCATGCACCCTAATTCCAAAAAGAAATTGAGGAAGTGGCATATATGCCCTGGAGTATGAGTGTTTCCACCCTCCCAGATTTGAATCGAGTGTGTGGCAGTAGCCGCAGACCATGGGAGCAGACTTCCATGCTGTTACCAGCTTGGAAAGGCGGCATGGTTGGCGCTTGGGTCACACTAGTAGTTTTACATCTCCCTGTAACAATCGCTAGATCGGCACTGCAAGACACCTTTTAGCGTTAGGTCTCTGTACTCCCTCCCCCTTAGTAACGGCCATTCCCGGTATTGTCTTGGTCATATTCCCCAGATGTTCTAACCATTAGATCATAGTAGTCCCACAAATATAATTAAGTAACATATAACATATGGAATGTATAAAGCACATATAGGAGCTTGCGTGAGATTTAATCTCCTGGAGTGTCCATCTCCCCCAGGCCGCAGGTAGTGATGCTAGGTCCTCCGAGCTGTAAGAGGGGACCTGCATGTCGTCAGGAGCTGTAATGTTGAGGTCCTTTAGGAATGTCCGTACGTCTGCTGAGGGTAGTAATACTGTTGGTTTGGGGCCATTAAATGTAATTATCTTGAATGGGTAGCCCCATGCAAAGTGGACTCCCTTCTCTCGCAGCAGGTCTGTGATCGGCTTCCATTCCCGCCTTCTTTGTAGCATGGCCGGGGCGACATCTTGGTATAGTTGAAGTTCCGTCCCTTCCCACAGGTAGGGTTGCTGTCTGCTCTGTTTTAGTATGGCTTCTTTCATTTTAAAATAGTCATGCCATTTCATTATGACGTCCATGGGTGGGCTGTTGCTAGGGCCCGCAGAGCTCTGTGTGCTCTGTCGACGTGCCAGAGATGGTCGGGTATGTCTGGCAGGCCTTGGCGGAGGCATTTCACTAAGATGGCTTCCAGTTCTGCATCACCCACTGTTTCGGGCAGGCCTCGGATGCGTAAGTTATTGTGCCGTGCTCTATTAAATATGTCTCCAAGCTCTATTTCCAGATCTGTGATCCAGTGTTTTAGGGCATTAGTGAGTGTTGCCGATCCATTATGAGCTGTGACTATGTGGGCCATATGCTGCTCTATTGCAGTGGTGCGGGTTCCGATGACTGTTATTTCGGCCTTTACTTCAGCTGCTGTGTGCTCTATTTCTGCCACCAGAAACCCCTTTACCTCTGCCAGGGATTGTAATATAGCGGCATTGGATGCTTCAGGGGAGGCAAGTTTCATTGCGGTGGGGTTATCCGCCTCTCTGTGGCTTGGGGTTTGGTCCGTTTGTGCACCTCGTGCTGCGGGCCGTTGTGTGGTCAGCATGTCCGCTACAGAAACAGCCTCTCTGTGGCTCTTTTTGGCCGTTTTGCGGCTGGACATCCGTGTTAGTCAAATGGGTCCTGCTCAGGCCGTGTCTGGGTCAGTGTTTCGGTCTGACAGCCAGGGGTTGTAGCAGATTACGGGGCCAAATTGTGGGTCTCAGGTGCGGAGCTCTGACTTTACGCAGCCATTACGGTCGGCAGTCAAACCACACCAGAAAAGGGCTTTTTTAAATGTGGAAAATGTAGTATATGTTGAGTGACAGGTCCCACCTATGGAAAAACCTCCAAATTTGAATCTTCAATAACAAAAAAATCATACGATATTAAGGAATGTATAACCTGCCATTCAAACAGGTTATATATTTATTAAGTTGTCCTTGCGGACTACAGTAGGACAAACGAAAAGGAATCTAAAAATTAGACTTAATGAACATATATACAATATCAAAAGAAAGTTTGAGAAACATTCACTATCCAAACACTTTTTGGAATATCACGCCAGCAATCCAGGGGGTATAAGCTTTTGCGGGATTGAAAGGGTGAATGTACCTTCGAGAGGGGTAGAATTGGTTAAAAAGCTTACATATCAGGAGATGTCCTGGATATATCGGTTAAAAACCATAGCCCTGTTTGGTATGAATGCAGAATTTGAGTTGACTAACATACTATAATAAATTGTGTTTAATAGTTTCAGTTATGAAATACTTTTGTAACCGCGGCTGGTTCCCTTATTTACCACTATAATGTCTTAAAGCATAGAACTTAATAGGGCTAACCATACAGATATTTTAGCCATAATTTTATATAGTTAGTGTAAGAGATCCTCTATTTAACATATATAAATAATTGAGAATACAATATAAAATAAGGATTGTCTTGGAAGCAATACAGTTTTTTCTTTTTAGATATTTATTATATAAAAATATAAATATAGACATATAAAATCCATTATAGCAGAGTTTATAAGATTAAACTAAATGCTTGCAAATAGGTGTCTTCATTTTAGGGTTACCGTAGTTCATAAATGAAAAATTAACACTTCTTTTACTTTATTCATTTTAGGACCTCTGTAGTCACTATAAGCATTTCATCTCTTTGAATTGGTTATAGTGCCTGGAGTGCCCTGGCACTGTCCCTCCATTCAGTATTGCACCATGTTCGTGCAGTATGCCACAAAATAAGAGTCCCTGGCCACCCACAGTCCGGCCCCTTCAGTATGTGTAGCTAAGGCAGAGATTACAGACTTCCTTGTTGTCATACCCATTCATACCGTCAGTTAGAACTCTGACAGGCTAAAAGCAGTCAGCTGACACTCTCAGCCAATCACAGCTGCCTATTGCTGCTCAGGCTAATACTTCCTTATTAGCCAAAGCAGCACAGAGGGGATGGATTGCCGGGGAATCTTGTTTAGCATTAAAACATTAAAAGTTTAAAAACTGTTTAATGCTGAAAGAAATGATGGTACCAGAGGACTCCAGACACTATAACCAGTTTAATGAGATGAAGCAGATACAGTGCCTACGGTGTCCCTTTAATTTGGCAAGCATACAAGGCCATAACTAAAGGGTGCATACGTCATGGAAATTTTCCAGACTTATTTCAAGATGGCATCTTAAAGTCTGAATAGCTTATCTGTTGCTTATACTAAGACGTAAGTGCACAGTTGTGGGAGATTCCCGGATTTGGGGAAGTTCCATTAACTTGGATTTACCACAGTATATTGTGTACTGAAAGAGTCGTAGCATAGCCTTGAAGCTTGTTTATGCATTATTGTTATTGTAATTTGTCTGGGACAAAATGGCACAAACATATTATGAAAAACAATATGTTCCATTTCTAACACCTTGTCAGTGTACAATATCTCTTAAAGACAAAGTACACAGTTTAAGAAATACAACATTTCATTCTAAAACTTGTAATATTTGCATTTGCCCATAACACTTTCTACTTATAGTGAAAGATATTCCTATGCATATCTATTCTCTTTTTTATTTATACCACTATATAATATTAATGGGAGAGAGGAAACACTAAATCAAGATATGTATATCCTTGTTATACATTAATTATAACAAATGTTTTTAACAGTATTTCTTCTCTTTTTTATCATTATTATTTTTTTATTTTTCTCTTTTTTTCTCTTTTTAATTTTTTATTCCAAAATAAGACTTAACAACCTTTCAATACACTTCTTAAGTTTTAATCAAGTTTTCTCTTGCACTGATCCATGCACCTTAATTATATGAATGATTTATGTATTTGTAGTCTGTCAAATGTGATCACTGAGTACCCCTGCCATAGTCCAGCGGTTTTAAGGTTTTTGAAGGCTTGCGGTCCCATGCCTGGGGGGATTAAGCGCTGACCAGGGAGTATTTGTTGTGTAGCTGGTCCCAGATGTCTAAGGAGTTTAGGATCGATGGGCATTGTGTGCGGGGAAGGGCACTACTTTGTCGGTCCAGCCACATGTACATTTCGGGGATATCATATTTCAGCAAGCCAGCTTCGATGTCTGCCTATCTGTGTTCCCCCGGTGGGGCATGCCATAGCAATATTTGAGTCAGTTGGGCTGCGTAATAGTATAGCAGTAAATGCGGAAGGCTCAGCCCCCCCTATTTATGGGTCTGTATAGTACGTTCCTAGCCAGTCTGTGTTTTTTTTTTTTGTGCCATATAAAGGAATGTATCATTTGTGGAGGCTTGTGAGGTCTTTCCTAGTTACCCTTTTAGGTAATGCTTGAAAAGGGCAGGACATTCATTAATGCTGTGTACTCTACCTATCCAAGAGATTGGTCTATCCTGCCATTGTTCTATTTCCGTCTGTAAGGTATGTATTAGTGGTCGGTAGTTATTTGAATATATCTCAGCGTGGGACTGGCTAAGTGTGATCCCCAGGTATTTGAAGGATGTGGTAAGTTTTAAGTTGTACCCTGATTGTAGCGCTGTGTGGTCTGCGTGGACGTGTGGAACTGAATGGCTGAGGATTTATCGTTGTTAATCTTGTAACATGAGTGTTCTCCATGAGTGGCTAGTATCTCCATTAGGGGTGGTAGTGATCTAGAGGGGTTCTGTATGGTAACCAGTACATCTTCGGCGTATGCGGCCGCTTTATAGCTGTCCCCCCCTATTCTTATGCCTTGTATTGCTTTGCTCCTCCGTATTAGGTGCAGCATAGGCTCCAGGGAGAGGGCAAACAGAACTGCGAGGCATCCCTGCATGGTGCCGTTGTATATGTTGAACTGTGGCCCATGTGCCCCGGGGAGCATGAGCTGCGCCTGTAGGTTTGAGGATAGTGCTATGATTGTCATGATAAAAGGCGTGGGGAATCCCCAGTGGTCCAAAAGACCGAAGAGGTAGTTTCACCTGTCGAACGCCTTTTCCGCATCCAATGATAGGATCAGAGAAGACCCACCTCTGCATGCCAGGCTAGGTCAACTGCTCTTCTGGTGTTTTCATACAGTCAATAGGGCATAAAGCCCACCTGGTCTGCATGGATTAAATAAGGGAGCATGGTCATCAGCCTTTCTGCGAGTATCTTTGCGAGGATATTCGTTTCCATGTTAATGAGGGAAATCGGTCTGTAGTTTCCCACCCCCGTTGGGTCTCTATCACCTTTGGTGAGTAGTACTACATTGGCCATGGTCATATCTGGGATCAGCGATCCCGTCTCCCTGGCCTCTTTGAACAGCTGCGAGAGGTGAGGCCTTGGGTGGAGTCATCTGGCTAGAGGGGTGACAATTCTGTTTGCCCTCTCATAGAAGTACCTCCTAGAGGACTTCATCTGCCACGCCACATATTCTAGCAGAAGCTGCTTCAGCTGCCTGCGCGTTTCCCTGAGGCTCTGCAGGAGCACAGTGGTGGGGGTCGCCTTGTGCTGTGTTTCCAGCGTCCTGAGCGATTTGTGTACAGTAAATAGCTTTTCAGTTTCTTCATATGTGATGCTATTTTGATTAGATCATTCCTCCCCCCCTCCCCTTCCCGTTTCCCTTACCAATAATGCCCCTTTGTCTGAACCAGAGTTGTCTATGTGGCGAACTCTCGTGCCATGTCTTTGAACATAGGGCTACAAGAGCGGTTAAATTGTAGGGAGTGGTTGTACATATATCTATTTTTTTTTTATTATTTTTTTTTAGGTTTTTTTTTGGGGTGGGGGGTTTGTTTTTGCTTTCCATCTTCCCACCTCTGTGCTGTCCCCCCCCCCTTATCCCTTCCCCTGTTGTGGCTGCCTTTCTCTCCTCATCTCGTGCTGAGTTGTGTTTCCCAGTGAAGGCCTGCCCCTCGACTCCCTCCCACCCCCCCGTGCACACAGGCAAGCGTGACGTCTTCTTACTATCCCGACCCTCTGACACCAGTGCTGGCAGTATGGTCTCTTGGGCTTCACCTTGCCTCCAGCGTGTTGGTTGGTTGCTCTTCTACCTCAGTCTCCTTCCCCTTGGGTCCCTCCACTAAGTTTTTGCTGTAAGCGCTACACTTTTAATTGTGGTGTATATATACCACTTCAAATTATATATTTTTAGCTCCATGATAACTTCTGCTTCTACTTCCACTGGAAGTGGAGCTCCTTCTACCACAGCTAGTTCAAGCATTACACCTTCTGCGTTTTATGGTTGTTGAAGCAAGGGATAGGTGACATGAAAGTACTTGTTGCTGTTGACCATGTCACCCCCTGTTTCTTGTAGTTTAACCCAGGGTCTAACTGGAAAAAAAAGTCGGCCCAGCATTTTTAATTATATCGGCACTGTGGCAAGGGGGCAGCATCAGAGAGGGAGTGTTCTGTCATCAAAATTGACAAGCACGCGCTTTCTGAGTGAGCATGTTGGTACAATGCACTTCCAGGGACCCCATGTGCAGAGCCCTAAAGAGCTCTCGTGTTATGGGCATATACAAATATTAGAAGTTTTAGAATTAAAAATTGTAGTTCTTAAACTGTGTACTTTGTCTTTAAGAGATTTTGTAAACTGACAAGTTGTTAGAAATGGAACATATTGTTTTTCTTTTTTTTATA